AAAAAAAAAAAAAAAAAAAAAAAAAAAACATTTAGTCTGGAATTTGGTTATTTTAATAATGCATAATCCGCGAAATAACCAACATATATCAATATCAATAATCAATATTTATGAAGTTGGTATGTTGCTAGGAAGTTTTACTCTAGTTCTTTCTTCCTCTCCATAATTTAAAGTTGGAAATTGCATTCTTTATTTTGAGGTCTTAGTCTGTCTAGTTAAAGAAAATAAAAATAAAATGATGAAAAAACAAAACGAAAAGCCTCAATTTTAGATCGATGAGGCCGTCTGAAAATATACTGTAAGTTTTTGTCGTTGAATAAAAGCGAATTTTGAAAGTATAGACCGATATAAATACAATTTATATAATACAGCCATTCTCAATCACAGGCGCCCTCTAACGATTGTTATTTTTCAATTGACACGGTTTTCTTTGTTGTTCACAAGGCGACGAAGAAGGTTTTGGTGGACGTCAATCACATGGCATTTCCATATCATTGTCGGAATATAAGGACACGTGCCTATAGAATGTCATGGAAACGCCTCGATTGACGTCCATCAAAAGCTACTTCGTCGCGACAGAAATAATCGCTAGAGCGGCGGATGTGTTTGAGAATGGCTGTAATGTAACCTGCGAGTATACGTACTCATAAAAATACTTCTTTTTTGTTGTTAATGACGTGCTTAGTACAAATATATGATTTTAAACAAAACCTATTTGGATTAATTAAATTCAAAATAAAATTCCCCATTTTGAGTTCTCTATTGTTCAGGGCTAGCCTAATTATTTTGTATAAAATATGTTTCCAGCAAAGGTGTAAGGTGTTTCTGAACTCTTATTTTGGTGGAGGAAATTGACGCCCTCTTTGAAATCTGTCGCCTAAAACCGTCCTACGATGGATGTCCATCGACTGTCTCTCGTTTTCTCACTGGACTCTGAACATGACTTCCACTCAGGTTGTCGAAACGTCAGTCACCATCAACAACATTCTTTCTCCAGACTACGCTCACCCGGACGATTACGTTTCACAACAAATTTGAACTTTATTCCGTTACTGAAAAGCCAAACTTTTCAATATTTTCTTGTTGTAACCTGCGACTGATACATTTATTATTTATAAACCTCTTTCAGTTGAGCGAAATTCTTTTGTTACATCCTTAATTCGATTTGAGGTGTTTTGGGAATATACCGCTAAGGATTCGATATCCACTCTTTGAAATGCAAAGCAACTTAACTATCTTAATTAGTTCGATAGTCTCGATAACCAACTCATAAAAATTCATTTCATATGTTGACGGTTTCGCCACTTCCACTGAGGAGATGCTGGAAATAAATGGACTTTGGCTTTTGTTATTTGGGTTTGAGGTAAGAAAGTTCTATTTAAGGTTTTGTGACTGACTTTATTTAGCTCTAGTTTATTTAGAGTTTCCTTATCGTATCCTTTTCGTTTTCTTATCCTAAATTATATGTAACAGAAGTAAGTTGAGTTTGTAGGATAAATTGTACTCTCCATTGCCAATGGGGTTTTTCTGAAACGGGTTCTCTGGTTTTCCTAATGTAAGATGAGTGTTGTATGTTGTAAATATAGAATATAGGACACACACAGCAGAAAAACGACAAGGCTGCTACTTTCGCAAATTTTTTCTTTATCCCTCATTCATGCTAAAAAACGTTTAGTGTTTCATTCGCGTCTCTTGTGCCATAAACTTTTCACAAAATTCTGCTAACCTCGAGCAATTCTACTTCGAGGTATTAGCGAAAATGTTAGTTTTTGTGCGGATCAAAATATCATCTCTCCCAACGTTCAGGGCGTTATATCTTAAATACGCATCCCTTAAATTTCCCCAAATTTTGGTATTTTGTTAATCAGCCCTAAAAGAGCCTGTTTATGAAATATACAGCTTATTAACGCATAAATGTCGATTAGGTAGGACCCGTTTTTCTGCCCTGTCAGAATGTAGTCGTTGTGTGTGTAGAGGTAGCCTTAGGAAAGAGCCCCTTACAGGGAGTGATGGTCATAGAATATAAGTGGTGTTTTTATCATTCCGCAAACTTTTAGTTAAAGCGACACTGAGCTGAAAAATAAATCTGTTCTACAGCATTAAAAAAGTTTGAATTGTTTATGATATAGATTATTCAAGAAAGGTTGGTTCTTTGTGAAAGTAAGTATCCCGCCATGAAATAGATCTATCACTTTGTTTGGCTTTGACGTTTGTGAGTATGTTGCTGTTGTTGTGATTGGCATTGTGTTGTTAGGAGTGTGTGTTGTGTTGTGTTGCAAGCTAAGCTCGTGTGTGTCGTATCGTGTGTGTCTTTTCGTATGTGTGTCGTGTCGTATGTGTGTTGTGTTGTGTTATGTTGTGTGAGTGGTTGTTTTGTGCTGTGTTCTTTAGGTTGTGTTGTGTCGTATGTGTGTTGTGTCGTATCGTGTGTGTCTTTTTGCATGTGTGTGTCGTGTCGTATGTGTGTTGTGTTGTGTGGTGTTATGTTGTGTAAGTGGTTATTTTGTGCTGTGTTCTTTAGGTTGTGTTGTGTT